ATCGCTGCTCTTAACCTTTCCACTGCTGCCAATCATGCGCAATGTCCGCCACCAACTTCAGACAGTCTTTCCTCCACAGTTTGTACCCTTACACTACCAGCATAAACACGGCTTCAGCGTCAGCTCTGGCAGAACCCAACTATGTCCTAAATTATCCGTCTCTTTTCCCATGCTCTTCAGGGGCAGGAGGTAGTGCCAAGTATGAAATGTGATGGAGGTCTCATGGTGGTCTCAGTACCTATGCCAGGCAACGCAATATTTTTTCTCTTCAGGACACTACACAGCTGGATGATGTTGCTATGTGCACGGATTGTGACATGAATCGTGTAGAGTACGTGAATCGTGTCCTCGAGATAGTTTGTAAACACCTGTGATCGAAGGATTCTAGTTTCCTCACGTCTTCGACTCTTAGAGCCTAGTTCTCACACCTATAAAGGAGGATGGAGTCAATTGCTATCTGCAGCACTTGGCAATTTGTCTTCTGATTGACCTCCCGTCGTTGCCACGGCGATTTCCATGATGACCACACTTGTTCACGCGTCGAATTTTTGTTGAAAAATTACGGACACTGAGCCGCAAGTAGCATTAACAGGCATATCATTCGCCGATCAAAATCCTACTTATATCCTTTTTAGTTGCGAGACATGGGGTGATTAAAAGCATTTGAATTTCTAGCAGGAATGACAAGCTCTTTGTGACCCTTACATTGATATTAAAAAAATGAATGAATAAAGTGGACTCTCCACGGCAAGAGGGTGGAGAAATATCAAATACGAGAGATATCATGCAGGCATTTTTATGTTCATTTTTATGTTTCGATTTAGCGTTGCAGAGGTAGTGCTTTCATTGATTGACTGAAAAGCGTAGAGCAAGCCGAAGTCGAATGCATTATATGGCTTATGACGGTTGATCTTGTGCCGTTGGCTGATCTTGAATGAAAGTTTTGAACCGCTAATTGTCACCTCATGGAATAATCACAATGAAAGACCCTTCAACCTGATTTTTTAATCGTTGCAATATACAACGAACATAATACAGAAGAAAGTTGATCTGATATAAAACTTTTCATAAATCGCAGCATACATCTAATTTGCATATCATTCGTATATCTGCAATTCCCGCTAGCTGTAAAATACTTTTTCTGAAGCACTTAAGCAGTAGATGCAACGACGAATTAGATGAGCGTCGTAAACAACCTGGAAGCATCTTTCTACAAGGATTGTGCTTTTTGACAAAACTTCTGTCGCGAATATTTGCTATGCTTAGCAAATTCGAGATGGTCAAAATTGATATTGTCCCCCCAATACTTCGTAAACTTTGTTTCATCCAAAAACATTATTTTCACGTTCTAATTCATTTCTTATAGAATTGTTCTTTAGCGTCTCTGCCGGGTTTCTCTCAGGTTTCTGTGTCAGATGTTCGTCTAAAACTAAGGTTGAACATTTCAATGCTTCAGTCTGCCTTTTGCCTACAGATATTGCAAAATCCAGCACAAACATCTGCCGTCTTCGCTAAAACAAACAGTTAAGCAACAGTCAACATGAATGGGTGAGCACTGGCGTCGAATTCTCGTACTTCGCAAATATTCGCTGCCGCCTGAATAACACCTTAACAAGCACCTGCGATGTACGTCTTTGCGCTAAATGCATTGCTTCATTGGTTGCAGCATTTGACTCTTAAAAGAGACTTCATCCACCGTCAGGCAGTCGATCAGTAATTCATTTGCCATGATCGCTAGTCATTTCGAGTCGCCGAGTCAGGCATGTCTCAAACGTTCGCGATCCATTGTCAGCGTTTCAACTTCGGCCGAATATCACCTGTCTGAATATCGAGCGGAGTCATTCAAGTCACCTGCTACAGGTTATTCTTGACCATTCCGGGGAGCAAGTTGGAGCTGTTTCGCTTTTCCTTGTGGAAGCGTTCGAAACAGGTGCCCCAACCATTGCAGCTGTGATTTCTCAATCTCAAGAAGCAAAGTTTATATACCAAAGTTCTCTAGGGTATCTGGACTCCGGTCTATGTCGAAACGCGTCAAATCAGTGACTCCTCCCAGAAAGACAATTTCAACCGCTTATGCCTGCATTAGTAGTAGATAATGACTTATGTCCGTAGGTCAGCACGGTGTTTATGATCGACTTGAGCACAGACAGCATAGTCGTCAAATTTCGATCTCCTTTAGCAACAGGTTCAAGCTATTTCAAGCATAACGCCCACAGGTCACTCTACATACCCGATCTCCCCCTCTTATTTTCCATCACCAATAAATACGAGCCGCAGGTACGTGAATTTTTCCACCTGCTACACTAGTTGTCCGTTAAACTGCAGATGTTAGCAGCATAAGAGCGAGACAGCTACGCCCATGCTGACAGAAGGTGTGAAGCAGGTTCCAATTACTGACTTTATTCAGTCTGTCTCAGTTACCTAATAAGTTGTTCCTATATTGGCAAGCCGGGCTACGACAGAAACGACAAAATGCTTGAAAACGGCAACACCACAGGGAACATAGGGCTGGGTTTTACTGGAGTCATCCGTGCAGTCGCAATTCTCTTCCTATCTCATCAGTTTTTGGGATTGGCGACAGTACAATTGCACCATCCGAGAGGCTACAACTAATACGTAGTACTAACACTGTAATACGTCATAACCATTTCTTGGTTAAATTTCCTAGTGCTGCTCAGGCAAATGCTCGAGAATGCGAAACGATTCGTGCAACTAGTCAGTGTTATTCTTTCGTCGATGATCGTTTCTCTTGTCAGACGTTGGTAGCAGCACTGCTATTTGCGCACCCGCGCAGCAGACCGAAAACACAGAAGGAGTGTTCCTGAAATTTGCATCGAATCGGTGTTATTCAAGTAAAATTGTCCGGACGATCACAGACTACAGAATGATACGATATCTGTGTCTGTTTGGTAATCATTTATCAGATGAGGTTAATCTTTTAAATATTATATGCAATTTCAGTGACTTTGCTGATATCTGTAGCTCAACCGTTGCCGATGATCGTTCGCCGTGGCTGTGACATGATTGTCAACGTGGGAACTCTCCCTAAGAAATATCCGGACACCTGCATCTTGGATAAGTACATGCTATATCTCGGAGTACACGCGTATTACCGCGCCATCAGTCTTCGGAATCTCAATCCTCCTCAGCATAGATCACTGTCGTTCGAACGCGTGCACATGAGGTATGAATATATTTATGGCAATAACCTGAACTATCCATATATTTGCATAAGCGCCTCGTTTCCTTAGAGGTGATAATAGAACTCATTTCATTTATGGTAGCGTCCCCTCAATAGCCGTTTACTTATATTTCTTGTGCGAAGCCTCCAGTCAACATTTCGGCGATCAGTCTAAGCCTGGGGATGTCAAACTCGTTTTTTACGATTACAGTGCAACCACAATAAAACCATTTTTAAATGATCTTTCGTCTGATTATCAGTAATCACTATTGCCTGTTGCTAATGCGTAGAGTTGTCCATCTTGCAAATTTTCGTAACATTACTCCGTATTTTTCTTTTAGATGACCGTTTAATGTTTAACTAGGTCTTCGAAATGAGCGCTTAAAATTTCTTAAGTATTAATCCGTCACTGCTGAAAATCGTAAGTGATTCGTCTGTCGCGTCATGTTACCTGCTGATCACCGCTTTCTCTCTTGAGAGATTGGTACTGCGTGCTTTCACTGCTGTCTTTTCTTATTTCTGCATTTTGCAGTTTGTCAATGATGGAAATTTCTAATATACTTCTTTCCATAGCGCGCTGCTGCACTCTTAAAAGTTCTTGAGTGTTTTTGTTGATGTTGAGCAGGGGTCGGCGAACCAGAGAAAATTACCCGAGGTGGGGATAAAAATGTAATTCTTCCGGGTAATGACTCAGTAGACATAAATAAAAATATATAAAATGCACGTTCCTTGTTGCGGCAGAAGTTTTTCTTCTGACAACTTTGCATCTGATCAATGTAATAGACCTGTTTAGGAGACGTCACGCCATGTTGAACTTTAAAGAATTTGGTTGCTCAAGTGGTTAAACAGTTATTATTTGTCAGTGGTCTATTACCAGCCTGAACCTTATTGTTTGACACGTGTTTTTGCTTCGTTTAAGTCGATTTAAGTAGTTATTTAATTTATTTCAGTGGTTCTATGTTAAATCTAAGATTTTCATTTATTAACCACATTTTAGTTGGGCTCTG